TATCCTTAAGGAGTTAACTGATAATGCTTTGTCTGCAGAGGATTGATTATGGCCGCGACACTCCTCGACATCACTTCATCTGATCAGCACAAGAAATTATCTGCATCCTTCTTATCCATCAATAAATTTGAGGGGTGGATGCGGTCGGATTCGTTACTCCATCACAAACAACGCTATTATTTTATATCGGAGCAAAGAAAACATAAAGGAAAAAACTGCTTTAAATTTTCTTCCGGTGTATTTTTGCCATTATTAAATATTTAAAGGAGTTCAACTTTTTTTTTTCTCCAGAGGAAATATTTTATTCAAGGGGGAAAAAAGTGGATAAAACTTAAAATTTTAAAGAATATTTTCTAAATTTATTATTATAATTTTTTCAAAAATAAATTTACATTCTCAAAAGACTTTTTTAATTTACGAGTTAACTAAATATAAAAGTTTTAAACTTAACTTTTATAATTTCGCACGCAAAACTTTACTACACGTGTATTTTTTAATTATTATTAATTTTAATTTAATAGAAATTAACGAGAGTTAAATTAAATTTATATTATTCACGTAATGCTACGAGGTAAAGCCTCTTTCGTGCTTTATTTGACCACCATTTTAAAAAGTTTCGAAGAAGATAAGATATTACATTTTAAGAAAAATTAATTCTTCTTTTAATAATTTCTCAAAATAAACGAAAACGAACCGCTTAATGTAAACAACTCATCTGCCACGCGATTCTATCCGAAATCTTTATTTCTTCCTCCTCCTCCTTCTCCTCTTTTTTTTTCGTCCAGAGACTCGATAATGAACACCAGATGCACCTCGTAACACCCGAAAGTCTCTCTTTGATGTAGAACTGAAGTAAGAAAATGATAATTAGCTGTTGTAGCAACGTTGAAGAAAGATATTTACGCCTCCTAATTGCTTCTTCTCCTTTACTGAAGATTAAAACTAACACGTATTGCCGAAATTTCGCATTTTTACGCCTTAGCTAAATTCAATTTGTGAAATAAATATTAATGAATTGACCTTTAATCTGGAAAAACTAAAAAAAACTTGGAAGTTAACGCTCAAATTAAATGGTAAACTCGGTTCTTCTTCCACAAAATTTGTATAAAATATGAAGAGAATCGATTCGGAAGTATCATTTATTACCTGGAATGGACTTCTTATAATATTTAGATTATAGATTTGGAGTATATTTTATCATTATCGACGAGATATATTCTTATAAATCTCGGTTACTCCAAAGAATTTCGGCTGTAAGAAACGAAAAATGTTTAATTAGGAAGTAAAGAAAGCGTATAAATGTTACATTTCAGTTACAACAGAAATCCTATACTTGTAATTGTGTAGAGTTTTTGCTTGAATGTAGCTCCAATTATAACTAAATCTAATTATATAGTTTTATATTTCAGTTGTTGTAGACAGGTTTATTTAAGGGATTGCCAGAAGTGCCATTTGGTCGACGTCGAGGCCTCAAAATTTAATATTTTATGGGATAAAAAAAGAATTATATCTATTTCATTTTATATATTTAATTTTTTTATGACTAAAGCTGTGTTTTTATTGAATTTTAATCAATTTTTTAATGGTTTCTAGAAAGGGACGAAGGATCCACGTCGTGTCCGTTGGCCTTGAATTTATTAATAAAATTTTTATTTCATTCACGCTTTTAAAGTTCAATTTTATCTATAAATTCAATTATATCTTTCAATTTTAGTGATAAAATATCAAAAATCCCATTTGTGTCCACAAAATAATTTTTAAAAATTGTAACTTGGCTTACAGAGGAGAGCATCGGAGCTTGGATTTTGTTCTTACTCTATTAACACGTATGACGACAAACATTGTAACAATTTAGTATGATGGAAATTTTTTTAATTAGAAAAACTTAAGTTAATTAGATTAAGTTTAGCGTTAATTAAAGGCATAATTACTCTGGAAACTTATTAGAAACAACAACGACACGACGGATCGAAAGCCGTCCGGAAATGCGTATCATCCAGTAGACACGTCCTGTTCCACAAATCAGCCTCCGATTGTGTTATCTCCTATTCATTAATTTCACTTCCTTCCCAAAATTATAAAGGAATTGGTCGAAAATGAGAGAAGAAATGCAATTGTTCTCCTCCTTCCTTTTCGTCATTAAAAAAGGAGGAGGGGAAAACCAGCAAAATTTTATTCTCTAATTATGGAGAAATGGATGATCTTTCGGTCGGATTTGATTCTTCTTCCGGTCACGCATCACTTACGAGAATTTCCAAAGACGTCAACACTTCTCATTATCATTTGGAATTAAGTTCGGTCTCACTTGGTTAACAAGTAAATTCTTGCTTCATCCCGGGATTTGCACATTCTGCCACGGTTTGATTCTCATTTTATACCAAAATTCCACTTAATTTACTACGTATCTATGATTAATGATGTAATTTAAAGCACGATAAGCTACGACGAATAAAAAATATATAAGTTATACACATTTATGCGGTTTGCCAGGCGATATATTCGAGTTAGTCCCTAATGAAATGGCTCCGATCTTATGCGCAAACAAAAGCTTTACGCTAATTCCTTCACAGTAGCTTTGCAATGGAAGAAAAGCCCACAGAGACACAATATAAGAGAGTGACAACCCGAAAAATGACGTAAGATTTATGATGTTCTCGTTTAGAAGCGGAGACTTTATTAAATTTATCATTCTTCATCCCGTTCCTCATCCTCCATCCCCTTTTTTATAATTATATTTTTTTCGGAGAGATGCCCTTTATTCGGGTTTTAAGAAAGCATTTTAAAATGGCAAAGGTTATAAGTTAGTAAAAGCCGTTAAAAGTTTTATCTGGGGATATTTTTAAACCTATAAAGAGTTAGAAAATGCCGAGCGAAATTAGATGAGTAGAAGTAGTGGGGCCAGCGAAGAACAGTCGGGCTATTTACGAGTTAGGAGTAATCTTCGCATCGCACACCAGAGATGACTGTATTGGGATGTAACGACCCTTTCCAACATCCTCGGTCGCTATGGCAACCCGAATCTAGTGACATTTTCTCAGCGTCCGGCTCATCTTCGTAGATGATGCTTAGAAACTGGGTTAAGGAGATATTGTGGAATTGAAAAATTCCCCGGAGCACTTCTATATTACGGAATATGAATTCTGTTCTCTATCCAGATAACATCTTTAATATCCATTCCGTATATTGAAAAATGTTTTTTTTTTATCATTTTCCTCCCGCATTCGAATGGCAAATATCGTTATCGAATTTGTTCTTTAACGGATGAAGTCGGTGCAAATTTTTACATTTGCATGCTAAATCTTTTTTCCGGTCCCGGCGCAATAATAAATATTCATCTCGGAATCGTATTTTTGTTTACTTTACAACCTCCTCCTTCAATCGAAAGTCGCGCCAGCAACCTTCTCCGACGTCATAAAGGTTTCTTCTTTTATAACACAGTCGATATTAATGCGGCAAAAGTTTATACTTGTTTACAAAGAACAATTCCAAGCGACAGAGTCGACCGTCGCAAGTTTAAATGGAAAAGATTAACTAAAAATTTATCAAATTACAGTTCGTCTATCTAACACCGTTGCCGAGATTAAGGAAGGACAGACAGACAGACGGTAATTTATAGGCCTACAATTATTTCAAATTGTAGTCCAATAAGTAGAAATATTTACCTGGTCTAGGAAAAAAATATTAAAGTAATTTATCGTGTATACTCGATAAACTAGCGAAAAGTCTGAACAACTTCTCCCGTATCTGATAAATTGATAACGATAACGCCTTTATCGGGAGCGCATTTGTAAACCGATAAAAGCATTTCGCCCGACTTTTTTCTCTCGTATCTCTCGTTTTTCCACGTGTCAATTTAAAACGCCTTAAGGAAAAATTTGGGAGAGATTGGCCCGTTTCCTGCTCTTCGTCATCATCCGTGCAACGGGACGGGAGAGAGGCAGATTCCATCTTTCTCTTCCAATCGATAACTTACATTTTCATCTCGTATTTCGGAATATCTCGCATTTCCAAAATTTCCACATTCTCTAACTTCTCGGGCCGTCTGGAAAATTGGTCCCGCGGATAGAATGATTTCGAAAGAGAGTACACGAAAATTCACTTTTACCCATCACTTCTGGCCGCAATGTGCCGAGAGAGCAAACACTTTTGATCTCATTTTGTTTGTTATTGCTGAAACGATTGTCTTGTTTGTTACAGACCATGATTCTCTTCTTCCCCCTCTCGATTCTTTTCTTCTTTTGCACACCCAACCGTCCAAACTTTTTCTATTATCTTACAGTTAAACAAAATTCGGAAAAATTCCCGATTTTTTCCCCTCCTCTCGGCATCTTTTTCTGGAAATTTGTGTATAAATTAATAAAGTTAGAATTAAGAATCGATGAAATTAATCGATATCGATATTAAAAATCGTTGGATCGATAGAAAAACGGGAAAATTTCACTCGTTTCCGAAAGAAGAATCTTTCAATAAAAAACCAGTTGCTCTCAATATCGAACGAGGAAGAAGAAAGATTAAATTATCGTCACATCTGGTTTGATTTTTCAATTGATAGAAACGAGTAACAAGCGTAAGATTGATTCAAAATTGCAAAACTAAAAGTAAAACATCCGGAAAGTCCAAGAAAACCAACAACATATCGATTCTTTTGGAGTGGGAAGTGTTTTCAATTTAATACTGATATATCAAAGTGGATAGTTTCCTCGGGACAGGAGAATCTTTAAAGTTTTTTCTTCTTTTCTTTTTTCCTTGGCAGGCAGAAATCGCAGGAGAAGCAATAAGAAAATTCTAATCCCGTACTAAACTTGGCCGGATATAAAGTTCAATTTTCAAATTCGGAATTAAGATCTCTCGTTTGTTTCTAATAATAAATCCAGATTGCAGTGAAATTTCTTAACCATAAAGACGAAGGAAGAAGAAGGCGATGTCGTTTAGTTTCTATAAAATTGCTGACGAGTCTATTTCTTTATTAAATCCCAATCCGCTAGCTTTTAAGATGGATAGATTTTCCCTTTCGCCAAATGAATGGTTGTGGTTATTTGATTGACTACCCGGCGGTACTTCTGATTAAATTTCACTTTCTGCTGCCCAATATCGCCACCCGAACTCTTCTCACGTCTTAAAAATCTCGCAGAAAGACCTTTTATAACAATAACTTAGCGTAATAATTAATTGTAAGAATGCTTTGTTAGTTGTTACCAGTTTGTATCGTCCTTCGAAAGGATACGGGATATAAATTCTATTTATTCAAATATCTAGAGTCGAGTCGGGGAAGCGAATTGTAATCTGGTGGTAACCTTTGAAGGTCTGGAACTTAAACTTTATGAAATTGTAGAAATTCCTGCGAAAACTACCACAATAGGAATCTCCGTTGTAAATTTCATCAAAAGAGATTTAATTTATTCGTTTTGGTTTCGGTAGGATCAAAGGAAAAATCCCTATAACATGAAGGATCCTTTTGACTTCGTCCTGACTCCTTTCATTCGATATTCGGATAATGGCAGGCCTTTAGAAGAGCGCTTCCGAGTGAAAGATGGGATGTATTTCAGAGCTCCCCAACAGATTTATCGTCGACATACCGGATCCAAACATTTCCTCCATCTACATCCGAGTCAGTCGGTCCTTCCGGAAGAGTTCGATCCTCCTCTAACGCTTCCACTTCCCGTATCCGCATCGACGAGACCCGGTATATCGACCGAACTGAGGGGAAGATGGCACAGGAAAGATCCGAACGCGCAAGAAGATCCTTTCAACCTCCATTTTCATCCCTTCTACCGATATACATGCAGTCGAACGCCTCTAGACCAACATTTACGTTTACTCCCGGCAAACCACGGCGAACGGCCCACTCACAAACCCATCCATTTTCTAGCTTCTATCAGAAATCCTCATGATCGCTATCTGTGGACTTCCGAGTATCTGAAGCCTCAAAAACAAGAGAGATATCGAATAGAAGGAGACATCAAGCTGCGTGGGTGCCTCTACGACACCTTCTTCGATTTTAACACCGACGGCGTACACGAAATCTGGCCCAAGACGGGTTTTGTGGGTAGAATGTAGAGTGCCCGAGTGGAGAAGAATAAATATCGAGAGGCCGAAGTAAAAGACAAAAATTCCATTTTAAAAATTTAGTAGAAACGTATGAGGGGGGAATTCTTATTTTATGTAAAGGTTTGGAAATAAAATATAATTACAAAGTTAAAGTCGTAGGACTTAGAGAAAAACAAAGATATAAAAGGGAGTGGCATACCGTATCCAGTCCGGTAGCCTATCCGTGTTTACTTTTATTGAATTTCTCGAATGTTTCGGGACGCAAGTTCTGTTTACAATAAAAACAGAATGCAATTTTGTAGCAAGAATCTCTTTCGGTTCTTCTGTAAATAGCATTCTCCAATTCTTACTCCCATTGGATAACAGTATTACAACGTCACGATTTTTTTTACCGCCGTCCAGTAATTTCCCAACGATTTTTGCTACGCTTTTTTCTTTTATATCTAAGAATATTTTTACATCGTTTCTTTCCTTCTCGACCCTTCCACATAAAATAACCTATAATTCGCAACTTTAAAAGTTTTAAAGCTCTGCGATACCGTTTCCCCCTTCCACGTCGCCATAGATATAAATCCTATTTATACAATATTTACGCAGCTCCCGTATTAAAAAAATATATGAGTTTAAAACAACTAAATTTAATTATATTTTTCTTAGTTTATAAAATATGAAGTTTGATTTAACGAAGATTTCTACAAATAAAATTAGAAGGAGTCGGGAAAACGTATGAAATCTAAAATATTTTTAGATGTTGCAGCCAACGTGCAAAATATCTTTAAGAATATTTAAGAAATTTTTATGGATAACTCGAATGTTTCCAATTTTCCTCGAATTTATCGCGGAAAATGCCAAATTTTCTAGCCCAACCGAGAAGGAAAGAGTTTCTTGCGCGGACATTATTCGGAAATGGAAACGACTCTTAAGAGATGGGTAGGGAAAAGATGGCCGATATTTGGGTTAGCAGTAAAGTTTTTAAGATAGCATTGGGACAATCCTTATTTTATAGCGGATGGAAGTTGGCCACGCACCCGAATCCTGGCTTATTTTTCCCAGTGGCATTTCTTGTAAGCAACGTTTCTTTTACGTTTCGACAGCGACGACGACCAGAAACAAAGGAAAATACAGTAGCAAAACTTGTCTTTTTTTTTCTTTTAAATTGGAGACGTCACAAATTCCATCCGTGACGTAGCTTTAGAATGTATTCGCTCCAATAAACGGGGATATTTTTCGCCGTCAGTCTTGGGTTATGATGGATGTCGTGTCGCCACTCCCTATTGACAACGGAGGAAAGAAGTGCAGTGTAAAGTTTATTTACCATCCGTCAATAACGACAGAACTTGTGTACAGATCGAAGCTGTAAAGGGATATGGGGATCTTCTATTCATTGGATGTACTTCCAACATATAATCGATAAAACGGATACTCTAGAGATTCTTCGCTCGCTTCCGATAAATTTTTATTTAAAATATTTTTGATGTTTCCGTACCAAACATCAAAAAAGTATAATCTCCCAAACATTATAGATATATTTTTTTTTATGTTAATATAAAGTTTTCCTTACGTTACTCCATAGAAACCGTCTCCAAAGATTTCTTCGAAAAACTCTTCTAAACAATAAAATAAATAAATAAAAATATATCGAAAAAAGAAGATAATTTAAGTCTGCAGTCATTTTCTATTGCTTCTCTGAGAAAGCTTTTAAATGCTTTAAATTCTTCCATTCTCAATTCCCATTAGAGAATATCACAAAAGTCGAATATTAGGCACATCTCGAGAGAAAGAATGGAAAAAATGACTATTTTTTTAAATTACAAAGTGAAAAATTAATAATCCATAGAAGTAAAATTATAGATTATCTTCAATTAAAATAAATAAAGCTGTTTAGTCAGTGCTTAATTAATTTAATCATATTTAAAATTCCTGTTTTTTTTTTGGTATTTAGAGTACGTTTCTGTATACGAAACGTACTCTAAATGTTGATGGACAGAAACAATGTTTCTAAAATAAACTAAAAACTTGCGGTAATGATAAATGCATTGGTCTAGTAGAAGATGAATGTCTTACGATGATGTAAAGGAGGATTCCGTGTAAATTCGGTGAACAAGCGCGATCTTTCACGGTCAAATGTTTCAAAGTTGTGGCAACAATCGAACTCGATATTCGTGCATCAAAATGGAATTTCTCTGTAAATCCTCTTCCGGTCGATCGATCAATGGATAAATCCTATCAAACCATAATAACTAGGTCATAAAAAATGATAAATAACCCTTAAGTTTTCTCGGATCTTCGCCATTTTTCAGGTTAAAACAAAATTAGCCCTATAAATTAGCCATTTTTTTACTCTTCCGATTAATAGAGTTGGCAAATATTCAATTACGCCAGTTTATAAATATTTTAGGAGCGATTTAAACGATATAAAACACGGTTTAATCGGTAATTTCTCTTCGTTGTAACATAAATGAATGCATCCGAACTTAATTGAATTAAATCTCGGTTCTTTCAGAATTTAAGTAAATTGTAGACAAAGGCAGAAATTATATATATACAAATATTATATCTGGATAATTTTCGCAATGTCTTACGGTCCGAAATTTCTCATTTTACATGCAAACCGGACGTTTTGTGCTATATTTATCCACTGGCTATTATCCGTCAAATAACGTAGACAATGCTCTCTTCTATATTCAAATGGAGACAATCCTTTAAAGTTAATTGGAACATGTTCAAAATTCGATCTATAATCTTTAACATCTACATTGTGCTATTCACTCTTGTTAGCGTAATGGATAGAGTTTCCCCATCACGTCAGCCACTTTGCTACACACGTATTAATGAGTCGGAGGCGAGAAGGTAAATAACGAGATTATAATTCAGTCTGCGACAAAATATAAATTGCGAGTAACTAAATGTTCTACGAGATTTTTTTTCTTCTGCGAAAAGAATAATTAACGAACAACTCTATAGAAAAGTGCATAAAGGAAGACAAGTTCTGCCTTTGATAAATTATTGAAAATAAAACGAAAAAAATAAAGTTTCTCTTTTCTTCTACACTATTCTGTAAAATGAAAGTATTTTCGAGTTTTAAAGACACCGGTCAAACGGATTAAAAAGAGAATTAAAGAAACCTTCGGTATTTATAAAATGTAGAGAGTAAAAAGCTCTGGATAAAAATGAAAACTTCTGCAGAATTCCTAAAGAATTAAAGAAGAAAAAAAATCGCTAAAATCTATTATCTCGCTCAATAAAATAATGGAGAAAAGTTGTTTCTTCTTTCGTTAGCGAATTGCCTTTTTAATATTAGAAACGTCTATTTAAATAATAGAAGAAACACGGCTGTTTACTTACACCTTCTACGTTTAAAGCCTCTTCTTAAAAATGTCAAGATGTCTGTCTTGGTAGAAAAGTGACAACAAAAATCTTATTTCTAAATTAGTTTAATTAATTACAAGATAGTTTATAGCATCCGAGAGAAATGGAGAAGATGGGTAATGCTTGACTGAATTATCATCCAGATCATTTAAAAATAAACTTTATAAAAAATTTTAGTTTAATCCTTTATATTTTTTGTAAGAATAAATGGAAATGTTTTTGTGTAATTAAGATTTTGATGTTGAAAAATAAACAGATTGTCTTATAAATTAAAATTCCAGAAATAATAAACGGCGATTTTGCTAATTGAATTCTTTCAAGTAACTAGTTTTTGACTAAAGAATTCTTTTTTTACATCTGCAATAAAATTATTACAGAAGTTGGTTAATGATTCACGATTTTCCTTATTATTTTTATATAAAAAAGGAAGAAAATCGATCGACGGCTTCAATTTATTTCAACGTGCTGGAGAGATGATAGTCCCTCGGTAGCTGTCCTCGACGTGTACATATATTCCCTTAAATCCGGGTATTCTGTACACAAAAGCGAAGGAACTCCCGGAGCTATCTTAGTATTTTGACATATATTCCCGGTGTCGGTTTGTTCGTTATACAGATAAAATTTTAGAGCTTTTTAGCTATTGACACAAATTTTCTTTCTACATAAATTTTTATATAGGAGATAGACTTCGAAACTATTTTTAAGAATACAACCTTCTTTTTCTGTTAATGTAAAATAAATTATCTAGTTTCTGCCATGGCCAGGTCGTTAATCATCCAAAGAATCATTTAATAATTTACCTTAGGGTCTATTGCCTGGTATAGAATTGTGATTTTATAAAGAGTATTGTTTTTTCGAACTGCTTTACTTTGCATTTCATGAAGACAATAGTATACTGACATTATTCTTTCTAGCCCGAAGTAAATTCCGGAGTCGCTATCTTTTCGTATAAAAATATCAATCTTACTTTTTTGTTTGACGTTTGTCACACCATAACTCCCAAAAATAAGACGCTCGGCTCCTACCACTGGTAATTATGCAAATGAGAATAGAAATAAATCTAAAATGTCGAGATAATTTTAATTCGTTTACATCGCATTGTAGATTAAAAAAAAAGAAAAGTTACAAAGAAAAACTATAAAATTCAGTGTAGAAAATTTCGTGAGAAAGTAAACTTGACGAACAATAAAATAAAACAGACAGACAGACAGTGGGAATTTATAGGTCTACAACTTTTCAAATTGCAGCCCAATGATTTATCAAAATTCATATTGGATGATTAAATTTTCTACGATACACGAGACAACATATATCATTGTCGCGAAATATTTTCTCTTTTACAAAGAGATTATAACAAAATATCAATTTTTATCGTTTAAAAACTTAATTTGTATAAAAACTTTTGATAGTTTGAGTACATTTTTGATTGTTAATCGCCAATAGTCACTTTTCAGTATTAATTACGCGCGATAATCAGACTAATGTAATGAAAATAAATGCATTTTAATAGAAGAGTCATTCACAAATTTGGCTTGGGAGATAAATTTCGACTAATTTACAAATGAACACTGCAAAGTGCTCTTCACGGCTACTTACATAATGTGACATATAACAATTTACGTATTAATGATCTAGAAGAGACGACAGAACAACGAACTGCCCTTCGAAGTATCAATATTCATTTTATTATAAATTGTAATGCGACCATCAGCTTCCATACTTGAGTAGTCAGAAACGACCCTCTCCAACATTTAAGTATTTGTTAGGTATATAAATTCGTGACTACGTAATATTTCCCTTTTCTACTCAACTTAATGTGCTCTATAAATTTCGTGTACGTGCAAAGAACGTCTTTATATATTCTATATGTCCATTTGAATAAAGACTTTACGATCGGATTGTTCGGGTTAAAAAGTCATAAACCCACGTTAGATAGTCTTATTCGCAAGCAAAAAAAATTATTAATGTACTAATATCTACAAAATTTGGTTAGGAAGAATGGGTATAAAGCATTATTGAAGTTTCTTTATTAGAAAATAAAACAGGATGATAAATATTGTTGAAAATTATACCTATACGATTACAATTTAATCAATTTTATTTTATTTGAATTAATGGCTCTTAGTTGGCAAAAATTTTGTGGAAAATATTTGTAAGGAAGCATAGAAAAACGTAAATTATAAGTAATAAATAATGTCAATAAAATGTAGAATTTGTTCTGAAAATTTGACATTTTTATTAAAAAGAAATTAATAATAGATGCAATCTCACTAACAATAAAATTTGAATATTGAAGCCATTCTTAGTAAATGTTTACTTACATTTCAAGAGACCAAATGCTATATTGAAATCCCATTATTCGATATTTCTTAAACTGCATAATAGTTAGCTATTTCATAAAGTTCTTCTTTATTCTGAAGTTTAAAAAAAAGCAAATATTTCTTATCCCAATTATTAATGTTTTAACTGGATTCTTTCCAACTCAAGGTAAATGCTAAAATTTGTATTATTTACATACATTTTTAATTAGTAACTAATATATAGTCACGTACAGTATATAAATCTTTATTAATGGAAAATTTATTGATTTATTAAACATTTAAAACAACAGTTTAGAAAATTTTTAATATTTTTCTTTTTCTCTTGNTAAAATATATAAACAAATTAGCCAAAAACAATAATTTTAAGAAAGAGGAAATATGTTGCAGAATTTTTAAAATATGGATTTCCATATAAGAAAGTTAAAGGTGCGCATTCTATCATTTTGTATAATCTTTAGCAAACTTTTTCAAGATCATAAGTCTAAGCTTTGAAATTTCTTCTATGTATCTGGAGATGAAATTGTTTTTATCCCTCAGGCTATGAAGGGAATTTGTATGGAAAAACCAATCAAACAACTTTCCCTTTGGCCAATTTCATCTCAAATGGATTAAGGCAATGCTGACCGATCTCATGTTTAAAGAGTTAGACATTTGGAAACAAATCATCCAATGTACAGTACAGTACATCAAAAGAGCTATTACATTTTTTGAAAGAAAATCATCAACTATTTCAAAAAATTTCTTATTGAAATAAAAATGAGGCAACTCAAAAATTGACTTTGATTTTATGAGCTTTGTCAAAAATGCAGGCAATTCAAAATGATAATTTTCAAATTTATAGTAAAACAATTAAAAATTTATCTATGGAAATTTTATTTTAATTAATTTTTTTTGGTTGTTACTTTTATGTTTTTAATATTTTCCTCTAAAATAGTAAAATTTAAATAGAATTTATTCAATAAAATTTGTATGTATAAATTTGTTGTGGAGTTGCAAAATTTGTTAATGTTCAAACCGGATTGTAAAAAAAAGTCTGGGAACCACTGGTATAGAACATTTCTAACTTTTTATTCTGACTAAATTAAAGTTACAATACATGTACAGTATAGTACATTTAAAGGTATATGCAACAGTCCAGGTACAGTTTGAATAAAAAAAAGACTACTTTTTACAATAATAGTCATTATAACTTATAGTAGCAGCCTTAGCTTTCTTCAAAAGATCAGAATCAGCCATAAATTACATAAATTTAATATTTCTTGATAACCACTGCAACTTGCAAGCTGTGCATACATGCAGTCACACAGATTTCTACAGGGTTGCACAAGTGCTTTTACTTCTTGTGCACATAGCTGACAGCAGGACATCTACATACANTTACATCTATTGTATTTTGAAAATTTAATTTTAATAAAAGAAATTCTGAATACTCAAATTATATTAAAAATGCTGTAAAATCATTTTTCCTTTAGTATCTAACAAGTAAGTTGCAACCAATAACTATTTTTGCTTTAATAAACAAATGAATGAATAAATAAATCATGACAATTTCAGACACTACAAATTAATTTTTTATTGACTCAATTGTTCTGGAAAAAATCACCCATAAAACAGTTAAGAACATGCAAACATTGATTTGGTTTTTACAGTGCTCTTTTGGCATCTCCAAGTAATTCTAACACAAAACAATTCTTTTAACTGACAAGACTGTTCCAACAGACTTACTGGCGGCTGTTCTCTGCATTTTGCATTTTAATTGCTGAAAATAATAGGTTTTGAATAGATAAATCATAATAATGGTTGTCTGATCAATTTTTTTAGAAGTTCACCCATTAACTTCTGGTTAAAAGTAAGATGATAAATTTAACCAATGACAACTAATGCCTCTTTATTGCCCCTGAAAGGAAAAACACTCTTTTGCCATATCTTTCATAATATATTTTGATAAGAAAAAGAGTGGAATTAATAAAGGCACTGTAGTAACAAAGAAATATCACCAATGAATCCAATTCCTGACATTTTTCTTTGCGTAATAAATAGTTTGAACTCAAAGAGTCTTGAGTATTTGATATTCCTACATGTTCATGCATATTTATGATCATCATAAAGATTTAGCTAGCTAGTTATCAAAAACAACCACGAAGTAACAGATTTACCAATTGTAACAATACAACCAACTTTCAAAACATTCTGATGCATCCCACAAGTCATCCCACAACCTAATCTGAAACATAGTTTATTCTATTATAGTTTTTTTGCATGTATTTTTTTATATCTATGTATACACTGTGTATATATATACATATACATAGTTATAGATATATATATATATGTCTATATATATACTTTATATAGGGTGATGTCTGTTATATGTATTGTACATATAAAAGTTAATCTTATTTAACATCATTGAATTCAGTTCAATAATAAAATAATAATAAAATACAACTTCAATAATTACAATAAGAGATTCTATAACAAAAGACAATAGTTTTGATTGAATATTCCAGAACATCATTTTTCCTTTTTTTTCTTCAAATAATGAAGCTGCACTGGATTTTTACCTGATAATTTAAAATTAAATCTTCAAACAAAAGCTGCCTTTGCTTGTCAAAGATTCCAACTTTGACAAATTTTTTACAGAGAACATAAAAGAGCAGCCATTAAAAAAAAATAATAATATAACAACAACAACAAGAAACAAACAGGAAAAAATCTGGTCCCAGCATTTCAAATATCTTGGTTTTTTCCTTCATATTTTAATGCATTATCTGGGAACTGAGTATTGCACACATTTTAGAGAATCTGAACTTTGCTGGACTTCTTCATTGATTAAAAAAATATAATAATTATAATTATAATAATAATAAAATAAAAAGTCCAGTAAGCATCTTCTAATTATTGAAATTAGATAAAACTATACACCTTATTCACTCTTTTCTTCTATAAGTTAAGAATATCAAAAACATCAAAGATATCTTTATGGCTGGAATACAGATAAATGCTGAATTTTTAAACTATTTGCTTTTTTTTGCATTTTTGCAGAAATACTAAAGAGAGGAATATACAATGAAAGAGAGACAGAAAAAAAGTAATGGCATAACAGACACTTGAGCCTGCTGGCCTCTGAATGGCAGTACTAGAATCAAGGCTTGACCATTGCTGTCAAACTAACAATGGTGCTATTTGGTTTATCAGAAATGTGAATGCAAATATTAGGGAAGAGAGGTGATTATACTGCATCAGTTAGTGCTAACTATAACAGTATATAAAATACACAAATCATACAAACATTTTTTAATACTAAATTGGTGAAGATTAGGACTCTCCATTGGCAGCCAGCACCATGTTGTTGTAAGCAAAATTGGGAGTTATTCATTTCTGATATTTATGGCTTTCTTGTACTTGGTCCATTTTTATGAATAGGGCAAACATACTGTTGCAAAATTATTACTTAAAAGGAACACATTACATCACTTGCTTTGTCTGATGTGGATAAAAAATGAATGATGACCATTAAGAGGCAAGAAGTTGAAGTGTCCAGAATCTTACAATTCTACTTTTTCTTATTTTAAAATGTTTTGGGTTTTATTAATTCTGTGGGTGACATGTAGGAGCAAGTCATTTTTCACTCCCATGTGGACTGGCCGGCTGCAAAGGTGATCCAAGTGTCAGCCATATTGCAGGCAGCGAATGCAAGGACTAATATATCAGGAATTGAGCAATGTAGCAATTTCTTGCTGAATTTCTTTTAATTCTTGGATCTTTTGTGCGAGTCGTTGATTCAGCTGTTCCAAAGCACCTTTTTTAGCTCGATTGGTCGATTTAGTTCCATCTAGCTGTTCTTGGAGTCTTGTAACACTTGTCCTTAACCCTTCATTATCAGCTAACAAAGCCTTTAAAAAATAAAATAAAATGAAAATTCAATAAATAAATATTTTTAAGCATGACCAACTTCTTCAACATAGAAATTATACTAATAAATAAATCCTCTGTCAATATCAAACAGTAGAATGATTAAAAGTGAAATTTAATTCTAAAGAGACAAATGATTAATTTTACAAAATTCTAGATAATGATGAAATTAAATAAAAAATCCAAATTTTATAGCTTTCAAGATAATTTAAAATGACAATCATATTTCAAAGAATTTACTAACTTTAGGACAGGAATGCATTATTTTTATGAAAAACTTTTGTTCATATAATTTTGAATAAATTTCAGAATTCAGGTTACAACCATCTCATGATAAAACAAGCTGCAGATACACCTTCACATCTTTCTACCCATACCATGATCTAAATTAGTTTTTCCTACTGATACAATGCTTCCTCTGTTCCAACCTGTCTGGTATTTGCTCTGTATGTCTGGGTGAAGACCAAAAATGTCTGGGTTTTAGCAAATTTGGCAAATTCTTAATAATTTACTTTTTTAATTATATAGCTGATTTTATAACCAATAAACAGAAACAGCCTGAAAATTTAATTAGCAAGCCATTTATAACAAGATTCTAGGATAGGGGTGCAGATACTGAGTTGTCTTGAGGACAACTTTAATTTAGGGAGCAAGCTTATTTTTTTTTTAACAAAACCAAATTTTAGCTCAGCTGTTCTTTTTTTTTAAAAAAATCCTTGAGTAAATAGAAAATATTCTGTGGTACTTTGGTATCTCTGAAAAGTTTTAAAATTGAGAGCCACCATGCATTGTCAAATTCACCTTTGATCTCTATAAATATTAACAGAGATATCTCTTCTTCTTTCCTTGCTGTAGAGCAAGGAATTTAACAAGGGAATTCCCTGAGGAATACCCCAGCATTCCTAAAAACTTTCTTTAAATAAAAAAAAAGTGTATGGAAAATGGTAATTTATATACAACCATTTACAATACTACTACTATTTGATGGAATGCATTACGTACATAACCTGGGATATTAAATATCTTAGAATATTTATATCTAAAGAATAAACAAATTACACTGAAATTACATAAGATATATAACCCTCTTAAAACATTTTAAATATTCATTAATTTTATAACAAAAGTTGAGAAAAAAATTTTCTCTTTATATTTAAGTAACAAATGATAATTTTTCTAATTTGTTAACAGTTAACTATTTACTTTTCAAAGATGCTTTATTTTAATTACATATTTCATTGATCAAAAAACAAAAATTTGTTATAAAATTTAAAACTAAAATAAACTTCACTTAAATTTTTTAAAGCTAATAAACATAGTATAAAAATTTATATAGTACAGAATTGTAATGCACAAATTCAACTTAATGAGTATATTTAGTAATTTATTTTAATTAAAAATAAATAATCAGAAGAAATATATTTTTTAAAGATTTTCAACAACTTTTCTGTAGCATTAGAAAACTGGAGAAAAGAAATGAACCATGCGCACTTGTTACTTAACAAATCACTATGTAAAAAAAAATAAATGTTCACTGAAGGAAAGTTAAATAATTAGAAAATTAATCAAAGTTTACTAAATTTATTTAGAAATCTGAAATTTGTTTTAGAACAAAAATATTTCATTAAATTAGTTTTTTTTTGTTTTTCTGACTTACACTCCTTCCTTTGCAAATAAACTAAGTTTATTATTTCAGACTACATTTCCAATATTTTCTTTGCATTTCTTCTTTAATATTAGATTTGATTTTTAAATTTAACAATATGTTACTTAACAGAAAAAGGCAAAAATTAAAATTATACTGGCTAATTGTATGAAATAACTTTCTATTTTATATAGTTTCCAAAAGCTTTGATTTAATTAAAAATATTCTATTCAGGCAAGTTGACAGAACAAAGACTACTATTTGGCATAAAAGGCATTTAAGATGCTGTTCATAAAAAGCATGAAAAATAACTAATCTCAAATGATGAGCCAGGAAACTCAAAAGTATTTGAGACTACAATACTTGGAACATGCTGTTTTGATTATTTCATTAAAAAATAATTTAAAAATCTAATTTTTTGCAATAACCTATTATAATGAATTACTGCACATATTTATACATTAATATTAGTATTTTCCCATAGAACCAATTGTAGAAAGTATTTTTACAATAATAATGTTGATTAAAAACATTAATGATAAAACTTAAGTATATATTTTATTTTAATAATAATGTAATTTCAGGGTGTAAACAGTACTACACATATATAAGTGCTATTTTTATGAAGGGACTAACACCAATAATATATGCAGTTATCAACATGCTAATGTTGATAACTGCATATATTACTGGTGTTTGTGAAGTAGCATGAGAAAATTTTTTACTTATACAGTATTTTGGTGAGAGTGTATTTATTTTATACAGTATTTATTTTCCATTTTGTAACACTTATTTTGAGTTGTGTAGCTTTGTTAAATCTCAACTCTTTCCAACTAAAGCTTCATTTGTATAATTTCAATAAAATTTAAGTTAGTGGAATGCAATTATATTCATTTTTTTTAACAGTTTAATCACATTTATAAATGTAGGAATAAGTACTAAGTAATTTTCTAAGTGGATATTAGTAGAAAAACAAATTAAGCAAAACCTTATTTCTTGTATGTGCAATATGCAAATCAGAAATGTATGAAAGAACATTGTCAAAGACACAGCAAGCTAACCTTCACCTGTTGGCAATGGCAGATCAAGGAGAATCCAAAGTAGCACTCAAAAATTAAAAATATGTGAATAATTATAAGTACCATTTATTAATATGTTCAAAATAATTATACTAAGGACAATCTGATAAATCATATTTGCCATCATAAACATTTTTAAAAACAATATTTTGAAGTTCAGATAACTAAATCTTTTTTTCTTCAATAAGGAGGGCTTAAGTCCCTGTAGTTCCCACAGAACTGCCTCATCAGCTGGTCAGTGTGTTGCTGTCGAATTCAATTGTAAGTCATGGTGCTGATTACAGGTTTTCTTCTAGATTCTTCCCTAACCAGGTTAAGTGTTTGAAATTTTGAAATAACTAAGTTTTACTAATAATCAATTTTTATTGTTGTAACATAAGCTTTCTAATAATGGTTTTTGTTGTAGTAATATATTTTCATTTGTAGTCAATCTGTAATGTCAGTCTTGTAGTACTGACATTTCTAGTTTATTAAAGTTTTTTTTTTTTTTAAAACAAATTCTGGTACAAGGTTTATTTCTTGTTAACAGTTTTGGACCTTGCATGTTTTTCTTTTCATTAAACAATACAATCATTATAAGTATAGTATATCATTAGCTAACTATGCTTAATACTCCAGAGTTTTAATAATTGCTTTAATAGATACATATTCTTGATTTTTTATTAATCAAGAATAATAAAAATCTAGAAATTGAACATTATTTACATACATCTCATATATTCTGATTATCATGTTCATTAGAAAAATTTTCGAATGATGAATGTAATGAGTAATAAAAATAGATAATCATTATTATTATTCTGCTTTGAATTCAACTGAATCAATTTATAATTGAATTTTATGAAATGTCATCAAATTTTTGCATTAAAGGTAACAGTAATTATATTGCATATCTAAAGTCTAAATCTATTTGTATTAAAGAGCAATCATTTAACTTTTTTCTATTTTTAATGATGATAATGTGTGTTTCTAAATGCTTTAGGATATTTAATAAATCTATTGCTTTAGAACAGGAGATCCCAAAGTGTTAATGATCCCCCAGAGGTCAATAAGGCATTTGAGGAATTGATTCAAAATAGTTCATTAAAACTTTAATGCAATAGATTATGTATATGACAGTTCAGGATGATGTAATTTGCACACTAAGGGTGCATTTCTTTATCAGACTGTTAATTCTCTCATTTTCCAATGACAGACAAGTGTTTTCTTATTCTCGTGATGATCACTAGACCATTTTGGTATTCACAAGACAGAGATAAAATTGGGTTTTGTCTGGCTATGAAACAGGCCATCTTCAATGCTCTTGAACTATGTGAAAAACTTGGGCTTCACCCATGAATGTTTATCTGCACTGTTGGTATTACAATATCCAAAACAGTTATTTACTCAGCTGTTTCCTGACTAAATAATGATATACAAACATTAGTCAATAATTTTTAATTCTTAAACTGCCACTGCTAATAAATCCTTAACTGTTGTAGCCATAACAATTCACAAAAACATTTCTTTATTTTTAGGTTGTCCTAGCATAGAATAAAGTAACAAATAAGACTTGAGCCAAGACAAAATGATGTGTGGATTAATACTAGCTCATCAGATTTCACCTATCATTATTAACTGTATTATCTAAAGCTGAGAGGGGAGTTAATAAAAGATCAAGGAATTCTTGAAGAGGGTCAAAAAGTTTGTGGACATTTAAAACTACTAAATAAAATAAAAATTAAATTATAGTTGATTATAAAATAGTTAAATTTAATAACTACCTTCTGTACCAAAGTCATCAATTGATTTATTAGATTTTGTGGTAAAATAAAGCTTTATCGCAATATATTATGCACAGATTCATGTGTAGTCGCATTCCTAACAAATTTACACTAAAGAATGATTAATGATATTTCAACAATTCTGGTCTATCAATACAGGTATACCTCGCCTTACGTCGATAATTGGTTCCAGGAAAACGACTTAAGTCGAAAAACGACGTAAGTCGAATTTACTTGTCTCGGAATCTACTTGTCACTAGGCTAAACCATAAATTACTATTCCCAGTTCTGTATTTTATTTATTAATGCATTTTTAATAATATATGGTTAATAAGAATCTATTTTAAGCTTACAAACAAATAAATTTTAGTTTTTAATAGAGTACAGAAAAAAGTAATCTAAATTTACGAATGCATGTACTGTACTGTAAATACAGTACATACTTGTAAATGTATATATTTTAATATGATTTTATGTGCTTTAAACGCTTTTCT